ATATATATAAAAAAGTGTGTGTATACACTTTTTTTTTTTAAGATTTTTATTTATTTATTTGACAGAGACAGAGAAAGGGAACACAAGCAGGGGGAGTGTGGGAGGGAGAAGCGGGGCCCGATCCCAGGACCCTAGGATCATTACCTGAGCTGAAGGCAGACGCTTAATAACTGAGCCACCCAGATGTCCCTAATATCCAAAGTATATTTAAAAACTCCCACAATAGCAAAAAAGCAGATTAAAAAATGGGCAGAGGAACTCAATAGTCATTTTTCCACAGACACGCAAATGGCCAAGATACATGAAAAGGTACTCAAAATCACTAGTCATCAGGCAGATCAAAACAACAAAGAAAGATCACCTCACATCTGTAAAAATGGCTATCATCAAAAAGACAGAAAAATAACAAGTGTGGAGAACAAGGAACCCTTAGTACACTGTTCGTGGGAACGTAAATTGGTACAACCACTATGGAAGTTCCTCAAAAAATTAAGAATAGAACTACCATGTGATCCAGCAATCCCACATCTGGGGGAATTAAGCTGAGTATATATCCAAAAGAAATTAAATCACTACCTCAAAGAGATATCTTTACCCCCATATTTATTGCCACATCATTCACAACAGAGAAGACATGGAAAAAACCTAAGTATATGTCAACAGATGAATGGCTAAAAAAGTTGTTGGATATATACAATAGAATAGTATTCAGCCATGAGGAAAAAAAATCCTGCCATTTCCAACGTGAATCAACTTTGAGGGCATTATGCAAAGGGAAATAAGACAGAAAGACAGATACTGCACAGTATCATTTATAGGTAGAATATAAAAAAACCTGAACTCACAGAGACAGTGGAATGCTGGTTGCAAGGGGTTAGGGGAAATGGGGAGATGCTGGTCAAAGTATACAAACTTTCAGTTATATTACAAGTAAACTCTGGGGATCTAAGGTACCCATGGTGATTCATGGTGATTACAGTGAATAATACTGTATTATGTACTTGAAATTTGCCAAGAGTGTAGATCTTAAAATGTTCTCATGACAAAAAAAAAGCCACTGATAATTATGTGAGGAGAGGGAGGTGTTAGTTAACACTGTTGGTAATCATAATGCAATATACAAGTATATCAAATCAAACAGTTACACGTCTTAAAGTTACATAGTTATATGTCAATTATATCTCAATCAAATTGGAATAACAGGAAAGAAACTTAAGTTTCCAACTTCTCGGTAATGGCAGATATCGCTCTGGTTTTCACTTTTCTCCATGTGTTCGGTCTCTAAGAATTTTTTTTCTTGTAAGTGCAATAAGGGGTCTTAAAAGATTTTTGTTCTGTTTAATCCAGCATTTATAGGCATTTTGAAGCGGAATTTTTTTAAAACCTCTATTTTACCATATTGCCCAATGCAAAAGTCACCCATTCTATTGAAGATCAAGACTTTAAAATTTCATATTCTTAACTTCTTCATTTTATCACTGTGTCCTGTTTCTATAAAGTACAACAGTGTAGTTGTTGTATTACCTTCTTTATAAATAAGAAAACCAAAGCTCACGGAAGCTGAGACTTGTTGCCTATACACCGCCAGATTCTGAGAATGGAAACCAATTTGAAGATTATCTTAAGCCTCTCAAAACTAGGTCAGTAAGAAACATTAAGAGGATCATTTACATTATGCATCATCCATACTTGGCAGTACAGTGAACTGTGTGACCTTGAACAAGTCACTTGCCTGTCTAGTTTCAAAGGACCTACTTCATAGAATTGTTCTGACAATTATTCATGTCAAGCGCACAGAAAAGCACACGGCAGAAGTAGAAAGAAGTGCTTACTTTGAATAAGCCATGCTTTTGGTTGCGTTGACCAAGCCATAAGTTGCTTCCTGGGGGAAGGTTGGTTTCAGGAGGGTCAATCACACGTTCATAAATCCTGTAGGGATAAAGAACAATTATTAATAAAGAGTTTGCTCAAAACAGAACCAAAAGGTTGGCATGTTGTTTGAAGTCTTCATGGCATTAGCTGCTGGTACAGAGAGATGGAGGCAGTATAGGGCATGTTTTAGATGATAGGTAACATGAACGTAAAGATCTACTTCTTGACAACACTTGGACACATTAACTGGGCCTCTGTTGGCTTTCTATTTTCACCTTTTCAGCAGGGAAAGGAGGAAAAAGGTAACATTTTTAAGTGTCTGCTCTGAGCAATGACCCTTATACCTACTCTGTGAGTAAAGTGGTTTGATCTACATTACAGATGAGAACGCTGAGGTTCAGAGAACATAAATGGGTCAACCACAAGTTAAGACAGGGAGCAGTTAAGTTGGGATGAGAATCCCCATCTGCCTGGCTGCAAAGCCCATGCACTCCCCTTTGCACTCTACTCCTCCCTGGCTTTGGTTTATCTGGCCCCTATCCATTTCTACAGTAACCTGCTATACTCCTTCCAGCAAGTGAGCAGTTGCCCATATGGTAATATGCTTAGTCTACAAAATCAAGTAACTGAAATCATCCCATCCACAAATATTTACTGAGCACTTTTTAGGCTCCAAGCTCCACATGAGGCAACAAGAGACAGAGCCATCAACCAGAAATCCAAAATCCTGCCCTCATGGAGCAAAAAAGAAAGTCCAATATATGAAAAAAATATTCACAAGATATATGAAGACATAACTAATACAGAGGATAAAACAGCCCCAGGATCTTTGAAGGTATCTCCTGAAACTACTCAACAATTGAATAGTCTCAACTGTTCTGCCCTACCAAGCCCTAGTCACAGATCTTGAGATTTGTGCTCCCCTTAGAAATAGTCCCTGCAACCACCAGGTACCAGCCTTCACCTCACCCCTAGCAAGTGCCTCTCAACACCTTCTCTGCTGAGAAGGGGAAGGAGAAGCTTGCCTGAGAATTGAACTTGTCATCAGATGCTCAGAAGATTCTGGACGGGGTGCCATAGAGACCATCGTGGAATTTCAATAACTCCTGATGGCCCGTCCGTTCCTTGCTCTCCTCAGTTCTTGCTCAGAGCAGCTACAGGAGAAGTCAGCTCCAGGTACTTCCAAAGGTCTGGAAATTCATCAGACCTCCATGCTGGAAGGGAACTGACTGCCACCTGCCAAAGAGCTACCTGTTCCTCCAGTGGCTCTCAAAAGGCAAGAACTGAGAGACCACCCACTGTGTCACAGCCGCACTGCAGCCTTGTAGCTTAGCCACACTGCCCATCACTCTTACTCCCCACTGGAAAAGTGCTGTTTCCTAACAATACTGCAAGGTATTCAATGGAGAAAGCTCTAAATGTATTCGATCCATCTGTACTAATTGTCCTCTCATTATAAATGGAGGCTCAAAACATAAACAAGGCAATATAAGTCTCCCTTAAAAAGACAGGCTATGTTTTCTCCACAGGAACACAAACTCTTTCACAGCTTAGAATGAACAATTTTAGATGAAACAATCATCTGTCAAAACTGCTTTAACCCAAGAAGCTGCTATATACACTTCCTTTAAAAGGGTTTTTTTTTTTTTTTTAAATTTTTTTTTTTTTTTTAAAGATTTTATTTATTTGACAGAGAGAGACACAGCGAGAGAGGGAACACAAGCAGGGGGAGTGGGAGAGGGAGAAGCAGGCTCCCCGCAGAGCAGGGAGCCCGATGCGGGACTCGATCCCAGGACCGTGGGATCATGACCTGAGCTGAAGGCAGTCGCCCAACCAACTGAGCCACCCAGGCGCCCTAAAAGGGGTTTTTTCTAATATTCACAAAAAACTAGAAACAAGCCAAATTTACAACAAAAGTGAAATGCATAAGTTATAGATCAGCTTGATGTAATTTACTACAGTCATTAAGAGTGACAAATATGCAGGTTATGAAATATGGGAAAGTATAGACAAAATAATCTTCACTGGAGGAAAGTAGAATGTAAAATTATTTATGAACTACGGAGACAAGGATGCAAAAACTATGTTCCCCGTTGGTGAATTTCAGAGGAGACCAGAAAGAAATGGAAATCGCTGTATTTAGGTAAAGAGGCGGAAGCTTAATTTTCTGTGAGGTTGTTTCACTAATACATTGAAAATACTGTCAAATTATTTATCTGAACCTTTCATTTTAAAACATTTGCATCTGCCGGAATGAGGAGAGCTTTCAATTTCAATGCTTTCTTTCTGGTTTTAAATATACCAGAAGGTGAGCTCCAATGAGCAGAGTAGGCTGTTAATGTTTATTAAGTGCATGAAGGATCAAAAAAAAAAAAAAAAAATCAACTTTCTAACATGCCTTATCTTCCCAAGTATAAATGCTCCTTCTGCCTTAGAAATAGTGGGCCTCAGATGTTTGCTTTCTCAACCCATCAGCCCCAAAAGCAGGGCAGTGCCCTCGTGGCTGTGTCAAAGAGGTATGATTTCGGGGGTCACACAGCGCCCATCAGGATCCCTTCTGATGCCATGAAAATCTGCTGGCTGCTGCCTCCCCCCACCCCACCCCAGCCAACAATTCACTCCAAGTGACCAACCTCACTGGAGAATTCCAGGTAGCAGGCCGAATCAACGAGCTGGATCCAGACACAGCAAAATGAAGAGAGCTTAGAAACAGTGTTAAAAAAATAAATACCCACACAGAGGAATCCTATATGAACTCTAGGAAACAAACTGAAGGTTGCAGGAGGAGAGGTTGGTGGGGGGATGGGGTAACTGGGGGATGGGCATTAAGGAGGGCACATGATGTAATGAGCACTGAGTGTTACATGCAACTGATGAATCGCTAAATTCTAGTCCTGAAACTGATACAGTATATGTTAACTAAATTGATTAAAAAAAAAAAAAAGGCAGATAAACCATATTTGAGGCACATTCCACAAAATAATTGCCTGTGCTCTTTCAAATGTCCATGTCATAAAAAGCAAAGACTGAGGAATATTTGCCAATTAAAAGAAACCAAAGGGAGGATCCTGGTTTGGAGCTGGGGACAGAAAAAAAAAAATCCTATGCAGGACTTTAGTGGGAAAATTGGTGAAACTTGAACTGTAGATTATATACTAGTATTGTATTGATGTTCAATTTCCTGATTTTGAGAACTGGTCATGTATACTGAAGTGTTTTGCTCTCAGGAAATACACACTGAAGTATTTAGGGGTAAAGTCCTGATATTTGCAACTTCTTCTCAAAGGCTTCAAAATAACAATGTGAATATGTAGAAATACAGACACATGTAAACACACATCGTGCAGAGAGAAAACAGAATCTGGGCCGAGTGCAGGATTGTTTTTTGTGCCATCCTAAAAGCTTTCCTGTAAGATTAAAATTATTTTAAAATAGTTTTGAGACTACAGTAAAAAAAAAAAAAAAAAAAGCAAGAGGGTCTGTAATACATATAAACTAAAAATACACACATTCAAAACAATTATCTATTAGCCAAGGACACCTACAAATTTAAAGACTCACATAAGGCACATGGTAGTGTTTTCCTAAAGGAATGGGAAGGGCAAAAGGGAGGAAAAAGTGAATGACTAAAAGATGAATGAATGAAACAAAAGGAGTATTGCACAGATTAATGCCAGTAACACATCATTAGCTAAGAAATAAGATTCTCCCATCCCTATCTGTACCTCCTTTACAAAGGGAGTTATACCACCGACATGCCAGACAAACACAATCTTGACAGAAGGCCTGACCCCTGGGTTACAGTTTAGGTGGACACTGGCTCAGGTGGACAGGCAGGTAAGGCCCAGTGATCTGTCACTTAAATCTAGTATCCATCAAGTCAGATGAAAAGTCAAAGCTAATGCAATGAACTCCTTGGTTTCCTGTGTGGTCAGGAAATAGAAACTTGATATTCTAATATTCTGGTTAATGAGGTTTCCTTCACATCAATATCAGATTATCTACAAGGTGATACGGTGTTGGCTACGGGGACACACACAGCAAAACGAATATGGCCAAGTCCCTCTCCTCAGGTCAAATGCCTGAGCCAGAAAGACAACCCACAGGCACACACCTTATCATTCAGTGAAGTGCAATGATCTATGCAAGCAGAAAGGAAAATCAGAATTCTGTCTGTCATAATCAGAGAAGACTTTCCAAAGAAGGGAACACCGGAGCACATTTTTGGATGAAAACCAAAGTGGAGCTGACACGCAGACATAAAGCCAACATTTACACAGCCCTTAGTGTGTGCCAAGCATTGCACGTGGAGGGCTTTCCATGTATTCATTCACTTATCCCTCACAACACTACCTCAGGTAGGTGTTCTGGGCGCAGCACGGTTCAATACCTTGCCCATGGTTATGCAATTTGTAAATTGCTAAGCTATATTTGAGAACAGACCCCCAAATCTGTGCTACTCACTCAAGTAAGTTAAAACTCCTAACTTGACTTAGTCATCAGGAAGGAAAGCAGAAAACAAGTTCATGTGCCAAAGTATGTGGCCAACACTGGTTAGCTCTCCCAGAAGCCCCTTTTCTCTTCCTCCAGGGCTCACAGCTACACTACATTTCCAGCCGACCTCACAGCTA